GACGAATTTTGCTGTTTTAGCTGTCTCAGTAATTTCATCTAAAAGAGTTTAGACGAATTTTGAAGAAAACTCGATTTCGAAAATTTTGCACTTACGGCTCTCTTCGCTATCACGGCAGTACTGGCAGAGTACCTTTGTAGGGAGAGTATGGACATTGGACCACTAGACAAGATACGAATTTGAGGATTCTGATACATTTTTCTTAACTAGAATTTCATGTAGAAAACCCTCTTGAGGCAAACAACTTTAACTCTCCCCTTAAATTATGGCTGTTTACGTCTCTCTCTCTCACACACTCATCTAGGAAAGGAGTACATGTGAAGAAAAGTATGCCTACAGTCAATATTTGGACGAGTTATTGTATTATTTTAGCGTTAGGCTGATGATTGACGATTCGGCACTTACTCTTCGTAATATTGCATGAATTTGAGGCATTTCTAGAAGTATTTTGAGATTGCGATTTTCGCGATTTTGAATTTCAAGACATTCTGGTATTTTTTGAATATTCCTAACGAAAAGATTGTAATAGCCGCCATCAGTAATCTAACTTAGCCATGTGCTCGATGAGCCTAAAAGCCTAGCTAAAACTCCTAAGGCTATTATAAGTCGCTGTATTGTTTAAAGAAGAAAAAAAAAATTATGAGTTTTCTTTCAATAAATTTAAATATACGAGTACCCATTGGTATTCTCACTAATGTGGAGTCTGTTTGTCATATGTTTCTGGTAATTTTTACAAGTTTTTTTTTTTTTCCCTGTGCCTAATTTTAAGTTAGATCTCCAATATCATAGGATTGACTTCCGAAGATTATAGTGAGTCTTAGTTTTTTGTATTTTGTTTAATTTTCCTGTAAGAAGTCAGACTCTAGAGGAAGGCATTTTTTAAGGGAATTTTAGTGTTGTAACGGTTCTCTGCGTTTTATGACGTCATTGCACGTTATATGATCTTTTTCGTATCTGAAGTATAACTATGACATCAATTCTACTGACTATTTCAACTGCAAGATGCAGTGTCTACAAAAAAAGGTTGAAAAATGGTAAGAAAAAATTTAATACTACGCAAACTAGTGGTTTCGTTAAAATATGCATATGTAGGTTCACCAACGAATAAGACCATTAAACCTACCACGAGGGATTTTTTTCAAAAAATATGTTTTCCTTCCAAAGATCATAGAGTGTTCATTATACCGTATGATTCCGAGAAAACTAAAAACAAAAAGTAAGGAGCTAGGCAAATGAACAAAATCAAGTTTAAAAACTTACCCCAACCCCTAATTTAAACCCTTCTTCACTCTATGATTGATTTGGCAAATGTAAAATGATTATGGTCTAGGAAAACCCTCGTAAGGATATTTGAACTATTCTAATGTGGTTGGAATTTTTATTTATTGCTTTGTTTTTTGTTTCAAATTCCCAGTTTTTACCGACATTTTTTAGCCAGTTTATTTTTAATTACCTATAATTTGTAAATATTTGTGCGAGTTGAGTTATGATTTGTATTAAAATGTGTAATAGCAAACATGGATTTCCTCACTTTTCATTCCGTAAAATCAAAGAGTTCGAGATGGGCAATGGACCCCCTTTATTTTTAGGATTTACCCTTGTAAAATATCCAGTTGGCTGTATTTCTTGCAAGCAACAGACCCTGTGGTCCATTGAGAATTCAAAAAACCCATGTATTGCGGTTTGTGGTGTTCTATTTCGTAGTCTGCCTTCTGGCCGATCGATAAAGTACCGATAATCAGAGGATCTCTATACGAGGCTAATGGGTCAAACCCGGGAATCGGATCGCCGTTTGACAGGGGCAATGGCAGGCGGTCGGTCGGACGTTGGACGTCGGGACGGAGTGGACAGAAAGGGAACGCGAGATGGAACGAGCGACGAGGAACCATAACATCCATCCTACAGTCAACTTAATTAGCGGTTAATTGCGCTAATAAAACGCTCCAGACCGCAGTCTACAACTTCTACACGTCGCACTCCAACACAACGCAAATCTATTGACTCCGACGAGCCACAACCGCAACCGCCCGAGCCAATGGCGTGGCGTGCTTTGAGATATATCGATTGTTATGCCATTTAAACCTATGGAAAAGGATCGATTATCAGGGTGTTTGCAGCGAACACCTTGGTAATCGATTCTTTGCCATACCTTCAAATGGCGAGATACCGATAATCGATCATTCACGCCACACCACTGGAGCGCAGAACTGCCGTGCTAAGGAAAAACGCCATGTGAACCTTCAGGCGTTGTCAAATTTCCTTTGATAAAACACAAATTTCCTAGTCAACTTGTGAATATTTTCCTTCCAACTTTTCAGATGATTTTGTTCGTAATTTTACCTGAAGTTTCTGCAAATTTTAAGGAAAAATATCCATAACGTTCTGCGAAAATAGACATGTTATCAAAGGAAATTTGGCAACTCTCGAATGTCCATACGGCGTTCTTCTTTAGCCTGGCAGAGCACTGCACTGTCTCCAAGATCCTACCTTCAACGCTACGTCCAGGGTTGCGCGCGTAAAATGAACGAAAATGAAAGATTGGAAATTTCCGTAAAATATTTCATGAAATTTCACAAGGCTGTGAAATATTTCATATTTTTCAGTGGCTAGAAATCAACCCGCACTCGAACACACACAAATAGAAAAATTCACAATTTTTATACTTTGCGATAGTCGATCCCTTTATACTGAGAGCAAAGACAATACGAATATTTCTGATTGGTTCCCGTTTTTTAGGCCTTCACAGTGCCATCTCGATTTCTGCAAGAACCCTAAAAAGCATGGATTGGTGTGTAAAACAGGGCTCACTTGGAAATTAAGATACGCCCTTACGTCAAAGGGGTAACGATGAGTCATTATTGGGCGAATCTTAGTGATGACTTCCAAAGTTGATTTCAATGGTGAAGGGAAAATTGCCGGTCGGAGTGTTCAGAACATATTGCCGCGACATGAAAATCGCCAAAAATTACCTATATGGACGGACCGCGTTTAGCGGAAACAACCTAAGCCACAACACCTATTGCCAAATTTAACTGGGCAACTAAATTATTTAAATGGAACCGGTTGTGCGGATTTTGGTGCATATTTCATAAATTTTCTGCATAGTGCGAAGCAAATTCCTCATGATTTTCAAAGAAACCCGGTAAAACGCTCTCCTGTAAAAACTTATACTGCCCAGGTAAATTTGGCAATAGCAGATGTGGTTTGGTTCCTTTCTGCTGAACGCACTTCATTTGTAACTATACTTATATGGGATCCATTTTAAATTCAGTTTATTATTGGAATGAATGAAAGGAAATTGATGTAGCAATTTAGGAAAGTCAAATTTTCACCACATCCCCCTTCAGTGTATTTTCCGAACGAAATACACTATGTTTCCTTTTCAAGTCAATATTTCTTTCTGCTAAACGCAGTTCAATATAAGAAGTGCGATCACGAGTGCGTTTTCCGAACTGGATCGCAACATGGCAACCCTCCCACTTCATTTTTCATTCTCACCGTTCGTCTCCAGCTCGGCTTCGAACTCTTTTAATTACTTTTTTATTAATGACCCCCTCCCCCTCCCCCAGCCTCCGCGGTCACTTCGCCCTTCACTGCGACCTGTCCCCCGCGATCCGGTTCTGCTTCCGCGTTCCTAGTTTCGACAGGGATCGCGGTCCGATTTCGGAGCTGATCTCCGCGACCGGTCCTATCCGGGAAACCCCACTTTTCGAGCCGCCGCACAATGGATCGAGTCGATTAGAGTCCCTTCATACTGAGAGTCAAGACAACACCCCCTCGTGGAGTCACAAACGGGAATAAAGATTACGGAAATTGAACGTTTTTTGTAATCTTTGATCGCCCCATTCTCAAATTCCTTTCTCCGTTCCTTCTCTCATTCCGTTTGTTCCTTGCCGAACCATTAATTCCCTGGTCCATTCCAGATCATAATCTTTGCAATCGGTGAAAATGTGATCTTTATTCCCGTTTGTGACACTGTGAAGGCCTAAACTACGGGAACCAATCAGAAATGGATTCACATTGTCTTGACTCTTAGTATAAAGGGACTTTAGAGTCCATCAGAGAGGCTGGACATGAAATTGTTGACAAAAATTTTGAAGTTTATTTCGTCACATTTTGAATTTCAAGGGGTGCTAAGAGCGGAAAATTTCACGAGGAAACCAATGGAACCACTATCAGAACCTCAAAGTTGGATATAAATGGAGTTTTAAGCTTTTAATTTTCCAAATTTTGTCCGACCTCTCCTATTAAGTCGATCCACCGTGCGCCGATGGCCGTTTTATTCGGTTTTAATTGTTATTTTATTCTCTAATTGCTGCCCGGTTTGTCCTAGTCCGGCCGACCGGCGCACTTTCTCGAACGAGGCCGAGAAATTGATAGAGGAGGCACGAGCGTGTTGACATGATGGACGACCGAATTGACTCGAGTTTTGCGGCTTTTTACGGTGATCTACGGGGCTTGGATTTATGGTGAGAAGTTGAGATCGTGACGGTCATGGAATACGTACCGGATCCGTCGAAAGGGATTTTTCGTGGTGCGAATATTGACTTGGAATGGAAAACAGGGGGTGCGGTTAAAAGTTAACCTGCTATGGTTAGCACATTAATTTCCTTTCGTTGATTCCAATGAGAAACTGAATTTAAAATGAATTCCAAATATTATATACATTTCAGATGAATTATGGTGAGAAGTTGCGATCGTGATGGTAATGGAATATGTACCGGATCCATCGAAAGAGATTTTTCTTCGATGCGAATATTGACTAGAAATGGAAAACAGGGGGTGCGGTTAAAAGTTAACCTTCTTAAGTTAGTACATTAATATCCTTTCGTTGATTCCAATGAGAAACTGAATTTAAAATGAATTCCAAATATTATATACATTTCAAATGAAACAGGAAGGAATTTAGAAAATAAAAATAGAAAATTCAATACAGAGCTTTAGAAAAAAAAGAAAAAGGAAACCGAACCATGGAAACATAGACGTGGAAATGTACTAACCATTGAAATGAAGTAGAATTTCTCGAAATCTTGCTCCTGTTGTTTGATGCCGGGGAGGTTGTTAGCGAGGGAAGAATGCCTCTTGAGGGAAGTTTCTCCTTTATGTCGAAGCCAAGAAAGGACCTAAAACATTGAAGAAAATTAAAATAATTTACGCTCGTAAGGTATGAGAGGTTCACAAAAATAATCAAACTACAAGCAGTATTTTAGGAATTGGCGTAATACGTTGGTGCGTTCGGTTCGCCTTCAATTTCGAACGATACCGTGCCACACTCCGGTGGTCGAATAGTTGCTTCGCGCTTGTGTACGCTAAGTATGGGTCGCGTTCATTTTCATTGTTGGTTCTAAAAATCCGGTGACTTTGCCGTTGCAGAGATTGATATGGTGAGTTCGTCCGAGAAGTTTGCCTCCAATTTCGAGTGATACTGTGCCACACTCCGGTGGTCGAATAGTTGCTTCGCGTTTAAGCACGCTTGGTAAAGGTCACGTTTATTTTCATTTGTGTTCATTCTTATTCCTACATTTTCCTCATTTTCAAAATCACGTTGCCCTGGCACATTTGCATTCAGGCTCCAAATTTCCGAAGTTCCTTGACTTTCCTAGACCTTCGATTTCTTATTAAAGGTTGAAGGTTAGTCCTTGGTAGGCGGTTATGTTACCTTTTTTCGTAAATCTCGTTTTAATTATTATATTTAATTATTAATACGATCTTATTTCCTACAGTAGTTTGTTCAATTGTAGGAGAGAGCATGGTAAATTCATTTAAATATAAATACGCTAACCCTTGCTGTTTGGACAAAATCGCCGCTTCTACAGACCTAAATTATAGAAAATGGCACTTAGAAGTTAATCACGTTCGTCCGTGTGGGGCCGGCCGACTGAAGTTTCTAAGCTAACGCATTGATGGGGAAATTCCCTGACTTTTCAAGGTGAATTCCTTGACTTTCCAGGTTTTCCAGACAGCCAAAAACCTTGATCTCTTCGATAACATGGCAAAGTACACCGGTATGACATAAGAATGGTTGCATTGCACTAGAAAAAAAAACACATTGGATCTGGAGTCCAGACTCTTGAAAACATTGACAAGAAAGAATACTCTTGATTCAATTAGATTTAAGCTTAAATCAAAGAGAAATCCGCTCAAATTAAGAGGCTTGGTTCTTGATTTAAGCAAAAGTCTGATTGAATCAAGAGTATTTTTTCTTGTCCATGTTTTTAAGAGTCTGGACTCTAGATCCAATGTGTTTTTTTTCCAGTGTGGGCATTGAAAACAAATAACTCAGCTAACGAAAAGGCGCCCTTTTCCTGGCCACGTCGAGTTTGTAAGTGTGTGTGTGTTTGGAGACCTTTTAAGCTCAACCCCCACGCNGGGGGGGGGGGGGGGGGGGGGGGGTCATGCGCGAGATGGTAAAGATACAGCCGATAAAAAAAGAAAGCTGAGTGTCGGTGAAAAGTGAAGAGACGAAGGCCATCAGGAAGACCAGCGATAAGGAGGTCCCGGTCCCCGTCCTGCACGAAGCACAACGAAGCCAGGAACAAGGACCCCATACTTCCGTTCTGGGCGAGAACCGCACAAGTCTCATAAGGACCGATGCTAAGAGAAAACAGCATATGCTCATTCAAATGTTGTCAAATTCCTCCGGAAATACTTTTTCCGAGGAAACCTCTGTATATTTTTCATCAATATTTTCGGTGAATGAACGTCAAACTGCGATTTTAATACTTGAAAAAATTGGAGGAATAATATTGACGAGTTTTTCACAAATTTGTGTTATAACCCAGGAAAACAGGGCTTTCAAATAAAATGCAGCCTTCTTCTGCGGAATTCTAACCTGAAAATTTGTTTGTTGCGTGTCCGAAACACAACTACGAAAGCATGCAGAAGATGGCACTTACGGTTGTCTTGCCTATCACTAGCCTAACATGGAAATCAATAATACCCACACTGGAAAAAAAAAAAAAAAAAAAAAANAAAAAAAAAAAAAAAAAAAAAAAAAAAAAAAAAAAAAAAAAAAAAAAAACCATTGGATCTAGAGTCCAGACTCTAAAAACATCAACAAGAAAAGTAATATTGATTCAATATCAGAATCTAGCTTAAATCAAGAACCAAGCCTCTTAATTTAAGCGGATTTCGTTTTGATTCAAGCAAAAATCCGATTGAATCATGGGTATTTTTTCTTGTCAATAGTTTCAAGAGTCTAGACTCTAGATTTAATGTGTTTTTTTTTTTTTCCAGTGCATTTTATGTACTTGAAATAAAATTGGTCAATTTTTAATCATCCAAACGATTTCTAAGAATTTTTTGGATGATGGGTGACAATTTGACGAAGAACGAAGGTTGCTTTCAATCAAATTTTCCGCTCAGACGCTGAAGATCCCATTCTCTTAAAACTTCTGTTGTGTGTCTTCGCAATCACCGGCAGAGTCGGGGAACAAGGGGCGTCACCGTGGGTCACGGTCGAAGCCTGGGGGTCAAAATGTGGCCTCTGGGCGCGTGTAGAATTGTGGATCCGGGACCGGCCGCGGGGTTCGGGGTCCCGGGTTCGTGTCTCCGCCGACGGAGCGCCCATCGTCGACCGTGACCATCCTGCAGAAAACTCACTTTTTCCTCGCTTCGACGCGACGCCATCTCAATAGCATTACTTTTTGTCACTGACCGCTCACCGCCCATGCGCTAGGGTAACGCTCCTGCGGAAACGGCGCCCAGAAATTAGTGCTCCCTTGGTCGTGCTGAATGCATAACCTCCTTACGGTGCCAGAAGAAGACAAAGAGAGACTCTCCATTCGTATCTTGCCAATAGTGGAAGCTTTTACTTTCGGGATTACAACATTCAACTGTTGATCTACCTACTAGGTGGATGCTCAACAACTTGTTGAGTATTTATTATGCTAATAAACCAGTGGCGTGGGGTGCTCTCATTTATACCTATGGAAAAGGATCGAAAAACAGGGTGTTAGCAGCGAACACCTTGATAATCGATTCTTTATCATAGCTACAATTGGGAAATATCGATAATCGATCATTCATGTCACGCCACTGAAACAAACCGAAGCTTGGGACCGTTCAAGTAATACGTAACGCAGCCCTACAACCCCCTTTGGAATTACGTAACGTTGGACTGACCGCCTCCCTAATTTAAATGAAAAAAAAATCAAGAAAACGCGCAGAAAACAGCTTGAAAAAATTCGGGGTTTTTGTAAAAAAAATATTACGCTGAAACACAAAGAGAAGAGATTAGGTGGGATTTTCCATTTTTAGCACGTTTTTTTTTCAAAGTTTTCCTTTTCTCCCGGCTCGGATTTGTTACGTAACGCTGGGCTATCCCCTCCCCTAACATCTCTAACACCCTGGGCAGCCCTATCATTAGGCTGCAAAAAGAAGAAAACTTTAAGGAAATTTTAAGGAACATTTTATTAAAAGAAGCCACCGCCAAGCACCCGAAAGAATTGCGATTCTGAACTTCCCTATATTTAATTCGGCGCTGAAAAAGGTTACTCCCATTTCATGGGACTGAAAACTTTACACGGCTCACGAAGATTATTCAGAAAACAAAGCGGGAAATTCAACTCAAGAAGTGAGGTCTAAACGCTAATTTTCCCTTTCAAACGAGGAATGACGTTATCCTGGTCGCCTGAGCGAAGCCGAAAGCTCATAAACCTTCCTATTTTGTTGGATTGCCAACAGATTTCTTGCCTCCCGCCGACCACTAGCCGCGCTCTGTAGCCGATTATTTTAACTTTTCCCAGCTACTATAAAGTTTCTTGGTGAAGCTACTTGCTTACCCACTCTGAACTCTTCTCAACCAAGACACTCGTTAGTAAAGCGGAGCTATTCCAAAAAAATTTGCGATTCCTGGGAAAGGTTGAAATGAACCACTAGACAAGGTACGAATTTAAGTGATCTGATACATGTTTCTTAACCAGAATTTCACGTAGAAAACGATTCACACAACGAAAATTACGGAAACCAACTCCTAACGAAGATGTTAACGTTTTTATTTCACATTGATTACGAGGAATTTGAACTGCCCGCTCACAAGAAACTCAAAACTCTACGTGAGTCAAATCGCCCAATACAACGGTTTCAGCAAGCTTCCCAATCGAGCAATGTTCATTTCCCACCATGTGCTGTTCAAACTATTAGCAATTTGCTATAACTGAGCCAAAGCGTCGATTGAGGTTGCCAGATTTTTATATCGCAGAGACTGGCATGATAACGTTTAGCGCGCGATGTGAATCAAGTATGAGCATTGAGTTTTCATGAGCGGGTGGTTTGAATTCACGCATTAAGAATCATTAAATATCTTCGTAAGGAGTTAATTTCGGTGATTTTCGTTGTGTGCATCGTGTTTTACGTAAAATTTTGGTTAAGAAACATGTATCAGAATGCTGAAATTCGTACCTTATCTAGTGGTCCATTATTGGTAGAAGCGTGAATTATTAGTAAATTACGCAACGTGGCTGCTACCGTCTCGCGTCGGGTTGATAGAGTCGTCAGACCCGGCCTATGGCAAAGCGTCCTCCTCTTGGGTTGTTGGCAGGCCTCCGACGAAGTTGATAAATCTATCTCGGTGACATTTCTTTGTGATATTTCACGGGCGGGCGCGGGAAGGTGAGCCATCCCCTCCCCGCCCCCTTGTCCGCCCCCCGGGGGAGGGGGGGGGGGTAAAAAAATGTCAATTACAGCCGACGGATTAAGGCCCATGAATTCCCCTGCGTGACCGCCATGTTAACCAGACTCTACTTTTTGTCGCTCATCTGACGAAAGGACGTAACGCAATTTCCATGTGAACCCTAAGTTCTACATTACTCTATGGTTTCCCGGGCTCATGTGGAGGTGGAGATACGCCCTTACGTCAGAGGAGCGACGATTTGTGTGATTTAAGGAGCTGCGCGTCTTTCACTTTTCTGCCAGGAACCTACATCGTAGAGGCATCGTTCGCCGAGCGAGCCACTTTCTGATGTGCGCGACCTTAGTCTGGCAGACTTGGATCTCATTGTGCCGATTATTCGTCCTGTGAATCGGAGGATAAAAGCGGAGGAGAAGGAAAACGAGAAGAAGGAGAGGAAAATGAGAGAAAAGAAGGGAAAAAGAAAAAACATGTGCAGCAGGATGATTGTTG